ATCTGGCAAAAACTTATAGGGCACGAAACTGAAAAATCTGGTCATTGTGCATGAAATGGAGATAAAGCCTTGAAGACTCAGTGACCAGGATATGACGTTAGGCATCTGCGAGGTCGAATTTTGGGTGAAAAGGGCCACTGAAACGAAAAAGGTCTATGACTTGTCATCAATTGGCCGTCCTTTTTTGTATTACAAACAGCTGGAATAAAAAAACCAAGAAAGAAGGTGACAATTTCTATGGCCTCGTGGATAGCTTGTGCTCAATTGTTGGATGTAAGAGGGTCTTTGAGGAGTGGAAAGCTAACCAGTATGAGAGACAAAGGAAGAGGAGACATGGACTGAATGCCCAATCCCCTCCTGAGAAGATGAATGACCCACTGATCTGTGGTGAATGTCTCCAGTACAGATATGAACCCTCTGAGATGAGACCCCATAGGATCTGACCCCATATGGTAGTTGCTGACACTGCAATCTGCACTCCACCCTGGAGGAGGGTCCCCACTGGTAAGGTCAAAATCACCCTTGTGTTCCAATGGATTATGATGCTGAAGCAGGAGGTCTGGAAACATGAACAGGAGATGCAGTAAAGTGTCCTGTAGAAGAATTTTGGGACAGTCAAGAAGCCAGTGTAGAAAATGAAGAATGTAGATGGGCCACATCTACTCAAGATACCATGAATTTTGGAATTCCTGCAAAAAAAAAAAAAGACTGTCTGAGAAAAGGAGCATCTCTTAGATCCCTAAGGGCCAATGCAGAAATGCGAATTCCCTACAGTGAGGCATCTCTTTCCGAAAGATCTCAGCAACAAACCAACCAAGATATCATGGAGAGAGCAGAAGCTTATAACCTGACCGAAGTGGAAGTCAATAAATGACTAAGATCCTCCAAAATTTGAGCAGGGGAGCTGTGAAACCTTAGATAGGCCTCAGACAACTGTTGCAAAGATGAGAGGTTACACCATCTACTACCTATTTGGGGCTTTACATAAGATGCCACTGTTCATCTTACACAATCTCAGTTATCCAGAATTTGTCTGTCACTTACAACAGTTTTCCATTTTTTATGAGAGCCTAAATACGGGATCACCAGGTGATGGAAAGCCAAGGTATGCTGATCCAATAAACAAGGTATGGCAGCACCCTCCCTCAAATGATCTGGAAATCTCCTTGTATGTACTGCAATGTCTAGCAAAGTTTGAAGGATCAGGTAATCAGACAAACTAGTTTTCCCAATAAAGAAGATGAAGATGAAGCCACAAGATAAATACTCAAAAAATTACAAATATAGATACTAGTTGTGAAAAAAATGGTGCAAGAATGGCAGGATGTCCATTCTTGGTTCATAAGTAGCTGTCTGAGCAAAAAAAGGTGCTGTCAAAAATAGAGACTAAATACTCACTAGTCTGCCCTTGATTTTCTTACAAACTCAGCCTCAGAGCCAACAGGAGAAACAACATAAGACTGCATGTACCCCTCTGCATATAAAGAACTGTATGTCCTCCACAGAAGGTGCCGCCCCCCCTCGACACTCAGGTTAGAATCATGAGGTGGTAGAAGAGCAGCATCAGACGATTCTGTGTCTGAGAAGTGAACATAAGTGTTCATCTTTGAAAAAATGTCTCCAAAAATTTGTTTTCTTGTAAAATGAAGAAAATAAACAATAAGCTCAAGTCCTATGATTTAAGGATCTAAAACAATTCTGAAGAAAACTTTGCAATTGTAGTAACAGTACAGAAGAGAAACCTGCATTAAACAAATAAGAATGACTTCAGAATTTTTGACATTGAATAAATGTGAATAAGAAAAAGTAACGGGAAGCTTATATACAGATTGGGTATAGAGAGGCAATGATGTAGGTGGAGAGAGAGTCATAAGATTAAAATCACTAGGGGCAAAATAGTGGGGTATAAAGACTGGAGCAAGTGAGGTAGAATTCATACTATTGCTTAGAAGGACAAAGAAGGGAACTTTTCCTTGGGATAAAGCTAAAGTGCATTTCGGAATTTAGATATATTTAAATTTTTTTTTTCTGGTTACAAGGTCAGTCAAATTGACCAACCTTGTATAGAGTTAATGTAAAGAAAATTACAGATAAAGTATAAAGTTTTACTGAAATTTGGGATTTTTGAGATGAATAAAAGTATTAGGTCATCAAGAAATTAATGTCACATTTTGGAACACTTTCATTAATCACCCCCAAAAAACGTACATCATGTATAATAGTTAAATGAACCACCTAAATATCACGTTAGTGTAGCCTATATATAATGTGTAAAGTTTAGTACACACTAATTCCTCATAGTGGTGGCACATGACGAGACACACATTTGGCATGTAATGCTGTTTGAATACAAGAAGGGAAAAAATGCCTTTGTAGCCACAAGGAATATCAGAGAAGTTTATGGAAATGTTTTGAACATTTGTAAATGTCAACACGGTTCAGCAAATTTCGTTCATGTGACTTTAGCCTTAAAAACTGTGATGGTAGGGACTGACTTGTTGGAATTGATATTGATGCTCTGAAGACTCTTCTTGAGTCTAACCCAAGGCAACACACTAGTGAAATGGCCCTGAAATTGCATGTCTCTCATAAAACAATATGTAAACATCTAAAGAATATGGGAAAACTCCTTAACAAAGGTGTTTGGGTTCCTCACAAACTCTTCGATGATCAATGTTTCCAACATGTGAAAACGTTGCTTCGTCTCTTCTAGCACGTGAACCATTTTTGGACAGAATTGTCACCAGTGATGAAAAATGGACTCTATGCAAGTATTAAATGCCAAAGGTTCAGTCCTAGACAAAAAAACAACACTTCTGACCCCAGAACCTGAACTCCTTCTGCAGAAAGTGATGCTTTGCATTTGGTGGAACACCAAGGGAGTAATTCATTTCAAACTCCTCAATCAACAGCGAACTATCAATGCAAAGATCTATAGACAGCAACTGAAACATTTAAATCAAGCCCTTCATTAGAAATGCCCTTCACTTGTCAATCAGAAAGGTGTTCTTCTTCTCCATAACAATGCACGTCTACATGTGGCACATATGCCGCAACTCAAGATTATGGAGTTGGGTTAGGAAGTTCTCCCACACCTACCATATTCTCCAGATATGGGAACATCAGATTACCATCTTTTTCATTCACTGCAACACCATCATAATAGGAAAACGTATACAAATTTGGAAGGTGTTAAAGAGGAAATCAACATGTTTTTTTGCTTCAAAGCCATGTGATTTCTTTGATAAGGGCATTAACAACCTGATTGTAAGATGGAAAAGCATCATCAATAGGAATGGAGACTATTTCATTTAATAAATGTTTTGTTTTGAGATATAAGTTGTTTGGGGTTTTTTTCATCTCAAAAAAGTGACATTAATTACTTGGCAATCTAATATTTCTAATCTTAACATGAAAATCATTGCACTTAGATTAGTAAAAAAAAAGACTTGATATATTCACGTACAAATCTTTAGTAAAATTATTTCATTAAAAAATCTGATTTTCTGTGTAGATTGTGTCTACTGAAAGTCTGCCAAATTTTGTGAAGAAATACACACTGTATTAAAAGTTATAGTATGGAAACTATAGTGAGTACAAAATGGTTACAAAGTCAATTTGACCAACTCTGTGGTGAGAGAGTTAAACTGAAAATAAGAGTACACATTACAAACCAGGAATTTTTCTACAGTTTCATGAAACTAAATCATACAAGTAGCAGCAAAGGTCTTTAATTTCTGAGCTACATGCCTCACTAGGAAAACATATTTACGTATGCTAAAAACATAATACTAAGGAACAGATTGACCTCAATATATTTGCAGAGGGAGCCAGAATATTTCCCTATAACTTCTGAAAGAAACTTTAGCTGCTCTCAAGTAATTGAAAATACATCAGCACATTATCACAAAGTTCTGGACATGGAATTTTCTAGGCTTAAATTTTTCAATATAGAGATTGTTTTGAAATTTACGTTATGGTTTTTTTGGAAATGATAGTCCTTTATCTAAAAATACAGTCAGACATAATAAAAAATCATTTTTCATACTTAGCAAGTAGCTATTTTATGGCATAAGACTTTCTACAAATAAAAAATAAACATTGTCTTTCATAGTTAGTCAGATTTTATGTTAAATTTTATATAGATGCAACATCCAAACTATTTTTAAGTTCCAGATTGACTATATATCATCAACTGAAACTGATTTTAGCTGATATAATGCCATTCTGTTCATGGTTTCAAGCTGACTGATTGAAAGATAAGACAGTCACAACTTAAACATACTTTTTCCAACAGATATTTTGGGTTAGGCAGCAATGGTGAATCCAGGAATATACTGTCTCATTATTTTTCTTTCTAGACAAAATTTTGGAAATTTCTACCATCAAAATTTATATCATTATAACATATATTGAAAGTGCCTGCTCCCAGACAGCATTTTCTTGAGTAAATCCTTTATGAAGTACATTTAGTGACATAAAGATAAGAATAATAATCTTGGAAGAATGGACACTTTTCTTCATATCTTCCCTGTTTTTTCTGAGTTTTTATGTCTTTACAATGAACATTTCTTTAGGTACAGTTAGCTGCAAGACAAACTGCTTGCTTTATATTCACACATATCTTGCAGACAGGGCATAAGTCAATGGGAGGAGGGAAGGAATATGAACAAAAAAAACTCAAATTCTGTATTAACATATTGTTTGTAGACCATGCATAAAAAATCATTTTATAGGTATATACAAACAATGAGTCAGTAAACAAGCAACTACCCACATTATATTTCTATTTTTGTACCATTTTAGTGTTATAACAAGTTTTCTTGTATTTTGAGTAGTTGAATATGAAAGTAATCAATTTGTTCTGAAAGTAGCAACCAACAATTGGGTGTTGTGGCTAAACTTTCTGTCCTCAGATCCATTGGCTCCTTAGGTGAAAGTTTTGTCTAGACTGTACTAGAGTTCTGTATAAGAATGTTGTGTATTCAATATAAACTCACCAATTTGATAAGGCTTGAATGGCAGAATTCATATAGCAAGTATTTCCAAGGTTCTGCAACCCCGTTAGACCTATAGTTTTTAATATACATAGAACATGTATTATAAAACATGAAATACATAAAATGATAATTGTATTCTCTTTTAGGTTTACACATGATTAAACCTAATTTGAAAAACTATTTAATTTTGAATACTTCAAGATGGTTTTAATGTGCATATATATATATATATATATA